CATATCAATTAATCATATCAATCATATCAATAAGGGAAAAGTTTTAAAATACATGTGACCACAAAGAAAGAAATAAACCGTTACTGAAAATTGTATCCTTAGGTTTCCCAAGTACCCAAAATTAATATAAGTGTATAAATAATATTGCATTTACCAACAATGTCACATTCCATAGGTAAAATCTCAAAATTTTCCACACTATTAATTCTCACTAAACATTCTATACACATAAATGGCATAAAAACCCTGTGTCAGATTATTTTAAGTGTTATCCTTTATACTGGCACACAAATTGTGTGAGAGTATTTTAAGCTTAACTATCAGTCATTTTTTCTGCTATCGTAGCAAAAAAGGTCCCAGAATATTAGATGAACTCTATATTGCACTTGACATTTAATCGTAAAAGTAAAAAGAGTATTCTTTGTGACAACTTTACTTGGGGTTCCCATTTGAATGATTTCAATAATTCTTTAGAGATCAGCTATTTATAAGTATCTCACAAGTAAATGAAATTAGCTCTCCACTTAAATTTTGTACAATTGTCTCAATTTTTTTTCTATCTAGCTCTGTTGTTAAATAGACAGAGCTCAGTAATAGAGCACTTGCCCTGGATACATGAGTTCATGCTATTTGATCCTCAGCACTGCAAGCAAAAATTTCAAAAGTTAAATTACTTGTAGGGCTTGGGAACAGGTACAGGAGGTAGCATGTTTGCCTTGCACATGATTGATGCAGATTATATCCCTGGGACCCCAATGGTCCCCCTTTAAACCCTCCAAGAGGGATATCTGAGAGCAGAGACTGGAGTAAGCAACCCCTACGAGCCATAGGGTGTTGTCCACAAACAAACAAAATTAATTAAAAGTATATTATTTAAAAGATTCATCAGTCCTATGTTGTCATGTGTTACTTCATTGACTACAAATAACATGTACTTAGCATAAAATTCTCCAAAATGAATCGATATATTCTTTTACACTGAAACAAACCATGATCATTAGTGAAGAGTATAACTTAATGATTATGAATATAACTAATAACATGCATGTACTTGTGAACATATATGGAATACATTATAGATTTGGTTTTTTTTAATTAAAAATATGTCCTAGAGAAATTTTGGTAAGAAATCAAGTATATTTTTCGAATATATGGCCTGGGTAGAGTTGCAATTTTTTTTTTTTTTTTTTGCTTTTTGGGTGTCACCTGGCGATGCTCAGGGGTTACAACTGGCTCATGCACTCAGGAATCACTCCTGGCGGTGCTCGGAGGACCATATGGGATGCTGGGAATCAAACCTGTATCGGCCATCTTGGCTGCATGCAAGGCAAACGCCCTAACCGCTGTGCTATTGCTCCAGCCCCAACTTGCAATTATTTAAGACCTGACTGAATGTAACAGTTACATGCAGTTTAGAGTATGTATACAACACAGTCTCTTAAAAAACAGCTGTTTTGTTTTGCTTTATTCATCCATCATTTTTGCATTTGACAAGTTCTGTCAGTCAGAGAAAGGCAATTACAGGGTAAAAGACTGGTAAATTTAAAATATAGGTTAAAAAATAGCAAGCACTTTCCAAAAACTTAGTACCATTTTCACTTCCTCAAAAGTCTGGCATCAATGTCTAAAAAATATTCCAACCTTGTTATTTAATTTCTGCTAAATATGAAGCTTATTGTACAATCCAATTGCTAAGTATCACTTACTTTTGCTTATATTGCATATAAATTTCACTAAATAAATTTGTAAGTATATCATTTCATAATGATTTAGCTACCAAAATTATAACATATTAGATGCTTGTGCTCACAAATAAGCATAAGTTCTTGTTACTTTGACTAGCATTCAATAGATTCCCTGTACTGGATTTGGTTCTAGTATACATCTTTTGATTTTTATTTTCACTAACTTCCCAAAGAAATATCTTACTAGAAACTATATAGAATATCTATATCTATATCTATATATATATTTCTTCTGTGTAATACAAGTGCCGTGCATTATTCTCCTTTTTTTTTTAGTACATTATTGGTTCTTCTGTGGGGCTTTAGGTGTCTGGATAACACTTGGGTTGAAGGTTGAACCCAGGGCGTTCCGCATGCTCTACCATTTTAACCATAAATCTGGCCAGAAGTTACCATTTATTTCACAAAAAATTTTAAATCAACCAATTCTTTAAACTTTGTTTAATTTTGGTTGGTTTTTCGGTCATATTCAGCAATACTCAGGGGTTACTCTGAGCTCTAGGCTTAGTAATTTCTCCTGGCAGTGCTTGGGGCCATATGGGATGCTGTAAATCAAACCCAGAAAACTCCCGTATCTGCTGTTCTATCACTTTGGGCCTCGTAAACTTTAAAACCTCTTAACTACAATTACCTAGAAGGCCTCTTTGAAAACAACACATATTAGTGAAGCACATAAACTTGGAATCTGAGAAAACATGTTACCTCCCTAGGAAGGGTTTGAGACCTTGTTAGCAGAATCAATGGAGGACCGAGAAAATGGAGTCAAAACTTTCTGAGGCCCAATAGAAAAACAGACCTATCAATAGATTCTTTGTTCTGCCAAATTATCTCAAAACCTGAAGGTGAATCCTCAAATACAAAACTGAGGCAATAAGTTGGCCATCTGGTATTAGGATTGAAAGTGCCACAGGCAAATAGCTCTTGAAGTCCTACAGTTAAACAGCCCCTGGTGCAAACAGAATCATAAGCACAAACTATGATCAAAGCAAATGGGGGTACGGGGAGGACGGTGGAATGGGGGCCAGAAGGAGGTGTGTGCTGCTGCTTGGGAGTCTGGAGAAGATCAGGCAGCGTCTCCACTGGTGGCAGTTGATAATATCATTCACTCTGAATTTTACCCTAGGAAAGTTTTCCACAAGCTAGGAGCATCTTATCTAGCAAACTGTATTGGTTACGAAGTGTCACTATACTTGAATCAGAATCTTAATAAAACCATAAAAGCTATCTGTTGTAGGAGCTAGTATTTAGAAAGAGTTTATGCACAACATTTTAAGCTGAAGTTACAGGTGCAGAGCCAGGTGATAGCATTGGGGTTGACATGTACCCAACCCAGGCTCAATCTTCAGTGCAAGAAGAACAGGATGTCTTCAGGGGGTGTGGCCCGACCATCACCCAATGTGTAGCCCTGGAGGAACCTGGGCACTGCTAGGGGAATCCCTGCACAGCCCACCTTAGACCCTAGCACTGAGCCGCTAGCCTGCTTAGCCACGAATCCTCAGGGGATTACCCCTCAATGATAGCATTGCTTGATAGCATCTCACAATCCAAGCAAGCATAAAAAGTGAAACACAGAAATTTCAAAGATGGGGAAGTGGCTGGAGCTATAGTCCAGTGGGTAGGGCACTTGTCTTGCATGTGGCCAACCCAGGTTCTATCCAGGCCACCACATATTGTCCCCCTAGGCCCACTAGGAGTGATCCCTAAACACAGCCAGGAGTAAGCCCTGAGCGCCACCAGGTGTGGCCCCAAAGCAAAACAAAATTTAAAAAAATGGAGGGGGGAGTGAGAGTGAATTTTTTAATTATTTTATTGATTTTTGTTTTCATTTTTGGGGTGTGGACATCTTTAACAGAATGACAAACTAGTCAACATTAGCAAATATAAGAATAATATTAAAATTAAAAGCCTAATCATTCACAGGACTCTGGGCTGGATGCCCAGCACTGCATATTCACCCAGCACTGCCCACTGGAGTCTGGAGCCTCTAGCACCACTGGGAAGACAAAAAAATGTTGAAAAAAAACATAATCACATGAATTATTTTATTCTAAAATGTTAAGGTATTTGAAAGAAATATTTGAAGAAAATATAACTTATTAAGCAATAAAATTTATGAAGTCTCAATTATTCTCTATTTTATAAGTAAACTGGGTCCATGATGAAATAGTCATCTACAAAGTCAAGTGCTAGCACCTGTAGACATGAATTTTGCCATATAATGTAAGAAGGAGCAATACCACAGGGCCAGAGAGATAGCACAGCAGGTAAGGCACTTACTTTACATTCACCTGCAAGGTTTTATCCCCAGCACAGCATATGATCTCCTGAACATGAGCAGATGTGGTCCATAAACAAACAAACCAAAAAACACTTAGAACGAAAAGAATAACTTAATGAAGTAACAGCATCAGCACTATAATAATAGTTATCCAAATCATAAAAAAATCATCCAAATCATAGATATGGGAAATTTTTTTCCTGAAATTCTTTGTGAAATAGAGAGCTATAAACTTTACATCAAATGATGTTAAAATCAAAAGTTAAGAAACTTGGAGCTGGAGCAATAGGACAGCTGGTAGGGTTCTTGCCTTGCATGCGGTCGACCAGGGTTCAATTCCCAGCATCCCATATGGTCCCCTGACCACCGCCAGGGGTAATTCCTGAGTGCAGAGCCAGGAGTAACCCCTATGCATTGCCAGGTGTGACACAAAAAGCAAAAAAACAAAAGTTAAGAAAGTTATGGCATACACATATCTATCTATCTATCTATCTATCTATCTTTATACATTATACATCCTTCATCAAATTTCTTCTTTCAATAATCATAACTTACATTTAGCCAAAAATACCAGTACTTCAATTATAATATTCCACAAATATACTGAATTTAATACAAGAATAAATTCTAGTCAGACTAAAAATGATTTTAACATCAAACAATAATCATAAAACAAATGGCAAAATACTGTCACTGTCACAACAGAGAAAAAGTATCCATGGTTCTTAACTCAGGGATCATTCTGGTCATTCTGGTGGGATTCAAGGAACCCGATGTGGTGCTAGGGATAAAGCCCAAGCGGGCCACATGAAAGGCAAGTACACTACCAGCTGTAATATCACTCCATACATTCTGTATTGTTACTGTTTTCCTTCCTCGTTTTTAATTCAACTACAAATGTTTCATCCGATAAAAATATATAAACTATAATCTTATTTATTCACTAGTAGACACATACCTCGCAAATACCATATTTTTTCTTGTGCACTATGACTGGAGGTGCTGCAATACCAGATCTATGTGTGGAGTGGAAGGAACAAGTTCCTATTCCAACTCCCTGCTCCAAAAATCCATTTAATATATTGTCCTCGGATAGAGGATGTATCAGATATTGAACTGTTAAGAACAGATAGTACACTTGATCTTAGCCAAAAGGCTGAGAAGCTATGCAAATATCTTTTAAAAAAATTAACATCACCTAATTAGTTGCATAAATACGTAGTATTTATAGTATGAATAAAGTAAAAATTATTGTAAGTTAATGTTGACATTTACATATCCATACATTAATGTACATGTGTGAGTAGCTGTGTCAAATGCAACTGTATGCATGAGTAATGTATAAAATGAAAATAGATTTGCACCTTGCTTACAAAATATCAAAATGTTTTTCAAATAACTCATGACTATTTTAAATTCCTTCATTAACTTGGCAAAATAAATAGGCATCTTGCTACTTATATAATTTACACTAAGAATAAAACATGCCTACATATTGCAATTCCATTTTTAAAGTATTCTCATTTTATAATTATTTGATTAACAAATTATTGGGCATTAATCTTATAGTAGGTAGTAAATGCATAAATACACACCATCTTCACTTATATTCTATATATTACCTGGCATCTAAGTGATTTGAATAATTTGTTTTTATATAAATCATTTTGCATATAAAATATATCTCCATAATGAACAACATCATCATATATTATCGGAGATGATACTATATAACTATAACATAAAAGGTAACAAACTAACAGTGAGAGAGCTGAGGAGTGGACAGGCAGAAAGCATGCATGGGGACCATGTTCAAACCCTGGCATATGGCCTCCCCGATCTCTCTTACCTTCTGAGCACCACAAAGTATAACCATAGAGGCCTCTTTGCTCCACGAGGCATTTCCTTGGTATTGAACAAAAGTGGGCAGATTCCCATCCTTGGGACTCACAAGGAATCATCTAGTCTAGTCGGCAGAGTATTGCTAAGCCATCTGAGCACTTCTGGAGGCCGCAAAGAAAAAAAGTAAAAAATTCTAATACTAATACCTTGAGGAAAAAAATAAGAGAACACAAAAATATGGGTGATAATCTAGTTATAATTAAGGAATAACAAATTGCCAGAACCCCAATCCCAACATCAACCCTAACCCAACTGAAATGTTGACCCTAATATTAACTGTAGTCCTAGTCCTACCCCTACTATTAACTCTTAACCTATTGCAAATCTTAAATCTAACCTTCTTGTTAACCCTAATCTAGATGATTTTTGTTCTTTAATAATTCTTTATTACATATATCTTATGTAAAATTATTACAAAAGTGTTAATATTTATGCTATTTACACACAAATTTACAGCACCACCAAAGGGTCAGTGTTTCATCTTTAAGTATAATGTTAGCTACAGTGTTTTTATGGACTTATTTTTTGTAGTGTGCCAGAATGTTTGGGATCTGGTGTCCTTACATGGCACTAACAGTGACAGTATGTGTAAGGACAAGCTCACAGGAAGCTGCTCTGTCACTCCCTCTGGTGTCTTTTTGTATGGAACAAACCTCATCATGAATGTTCCACTCTCATGTCAGAAACTAAACTTAATTCCCTCCCAAAGATCCTGGCTTTAAGTCTCAGCATTCGGGGACTAGGACACAAATATAGGAATTTTGTGGGCACATAGGTCAATTTCTACCAAACCTTCTTTGGAAATTTTCTGACCAAAGAAGAAAGAGACAACTCATCATTTCACTGTGTGATGGATGTCAAGGATCCCCCAGGGTGACCATAAGGATCCTCCCCTTAGGCAGCTGATATGGGGGTCTACGCTTTACCATGCATGAAGGATCAAAGTTCAGATTTTCTGGAGGGAATTTGGAGTGACTCTTTACAATCTCCTGTATGTAGGTGGACGTTTAGGACCCCTACCTGGGCTTTATTGACATGGATGAAGATGGGGTTTGGCTATAGTTATGAGGATTTTGTCTCAAAGTTTTCTGTTTTATAGAGTGGCTACTTTCCTACTCTGAGAAAGAAGAGGTTTGTATTTTTATTTTTTATTGAGTAACCTTGAGATACAGAGTTACAAAGCTGGCCATGGTCAGGTTTTAGTCATACAGTGTTCCAACACCATCCCTCCACCAGTGTACATTTCCACCACCAATAGTCACCAGTTTCCCTCCCACCACCATCCCCCAGCCTTTCTCTATGGCAGGCACTTTCCTCCCAAAAGAAGGGTTTTATTGTGGCTTTTGGTCTTTGGCATTTGTGGGTTCATAGATTTTTCAGCCTAGGCCTGGAATGTATAAGGCAAAACCAAAACAGCAGAATGGGCTGAAAGGTAAACGGGAAATGTATCATCTTGTTAAGTGGATCCTGTGCTCCTTAACCAGGCTCTAATCCTCTCTTTACCATCAATATTCTAGATGTATATTTCCCATGTAGTGTCCAGAAAATACTTAGCAGGGAAATTAGAGAAAGTATGCCTAATTTTTTCCTCAGAGGCAGAAGTCCAAATGTATTTTTGGCTAGTAGTAAAAAGTGAATCACATTTATGCTATATTTTGCTTCATTTATTTAATTTGATTATTTTATGCATCCTATAATTGCTGTTAAGTTTTATCATGTGATAAGTATATACCATGAGCGACAGTTTCATTACTGACTGGCAACTTAGTTGGAAAGCAGAATATTATTTGTCTTTAAATTTAACTTATCCTCTGTTGTGTACTACCTTAATAAAGGAAATAATGGATCTTTCTTTTATTTTCTTACACAATTATCTACAAAAGGACAAAATGGATCTTTAAAAAATCATTAGGGGGTCAAGGGAGATAGCAAAAACAACTGGAGTACATGTCTTGAGTGTGCATGGTCCTGGAGTTTGGCCCCCAGCACTGCTTGGCCTGAGTCCCCAGCAGCCTCAGATGTGACAGTGGCCCCAACTGCTGGGGCAAATTCTGTTTTTCTTTTGGGACCACCCTGGCAGTACTCAGGGCTTCCTCCTGGCTCTTCACTTAGAGATCACTCCTGGCAAGGACCGTATGGGATGCTGGGGCTTGAACCCCGGTTGGCTGTGTGCAATGCAAGCACCCTACCCTCTGTACTATTTCTCTGGTTCCAGGGCTCAATTTCTGAACCATCCAGACTAGTTAACCAAGTATCACCAGGAATAGTTCCTGAACCTCTGAGCATTGCTTGAGATTCCCCCATGCAAAAAGAAAAATCATTAGGATATGACTTTAAATGACTTTTATTTTATGCGCACAAATAGTTTAATTTGCTTTCTTTTATTTACGATATGCCTATTTTTGTATCTTTTGAAATTATGTAATATCTGGTTGGGCATAAAAGCAGAGTATTCATTACAATAGCACAGAAGTTATTGAAAAATACTGGCTTAGGCTAAAGAGATAGCTCAAACGTCTAGAGTACATGTTTTACATACAGGCCAGCGGTCAGTCCCTAGGACTGCAAGGTCCCCCTGCACTACTGGAACAGCCCGATGTAATGACCCAGGAGTAGCCCTTGAGCACTCAGTATACAACCAAATTGAATAAAAATGGTTTGCTTTTTCGTATATATGTTTTATATATGCTATATACGCATATATGTATACATGTTTATATGTATGTTAAACACACACATATATGTGTTTAACAAGCCCTGTCAGATACAGTCCTAGAAAAGAAATTACTCCATAAAACAGCAAATAAACATAAAACTTTGCTATATAATAGATTAATTTGAAACTCCAAATCATTAGAGCCCTTTCACTATCTGGTATCCTATAGAAAGAAACACATGGAGATGCTCAGGGATTACTCCTGGCAGCACTCAGGGAACCATATGGGCTGCCCAAGATCGAACCCAGGTCAGCCATATGTAAATCAAGCACCCTACTACCAACTGTACTATCTCTCCAGCCCACGATTTTTTTTGATCTTTTAAGGGATTGGAGAGATGGGATTAAGGATTTAGCTTTGTCCACAAATTCAATCCCCATTATCCATATGGTCCCCTGAACATAACCAGAAGTGAACCCTGAGCACAGAGTGAAAAGTAAAACTGGAACACCTCCAGATGTGGTCCCTAAACACTTCTCCCCAAGAGATTATTTTATTTTGGCTTTTTGGGTCATCCATGGCAATGCTCAGGCGTTGCTCCTGGCTCTTCACTCAGGAATTACTCCTGGCGATGCTCTATAGACCATATGGGATACCGGGAATCAAACCTGGGTCAGCCACATGCAAGGCAAACACCCTATCTTCTGGACTATCACTATAGCCCCAATGTTATTATAATTTTTGCTTTCTCCCCTTGTTACTGTCATTATAACACACAATCTTTAAACAAATGCTAAAACTTGGGATAATAAAACAGCAAATAAACATTTGAATATCTGGGGCCAGAGAGAAAGTTCAGCAGGTAAAGTGTTTGCTTTGCACATTGTCTCACTGAGGTCCAATATCTGGTACCCCAATGGCCCACCGAGCCCACTAGGAGTGATCCATAACCCCAGAGCCAGGAGGAATCCCTGAGCAAAGCCAAATATGGGCCCAAAACAAACAAAAACTTTGAATGCTTTATCAGAAAAGTAATGGAATTTCTACTGGCACAGCACCAAAACCACCCAGACTGAGGAACCTGTGAGATCACTCCAGGATTCTTAGAGACAACAGCTTCGGATACCAAGTCCAGACAATGGCAAGGGACCTTTGCCAGGGGATTTAATGCTTCCCAGAAAACAGTGAAGATTGTTTATAGTCTAATAACTGGCTAATGGCTGGGCTTGGGGGTGCGGTAGCCATAGCCCATGTCTTGGGGATATGGGTTGCCTTCAGATACCTTTAAGGAGAATAAGTTTTGTTTCTCTTTAAAGTAACTTAGAGTCTCTTAGTTAACTGATCCCGTGCAGTTGCACTTAACCATGAAACCACTGATTTTCCCTTCTGTTTTTTGCTATATAATCACTGCTTGCCTGCATAAACTCGTCTATTGGCCATCAGCCATAGACAGTGTCTATGATCACCAGTCACAGATTGCATCAGAACAGGCGCCTCGTACAAGATCACAGCACTGCTGGATGGTGACAACTATGTATTATGTTCAGATGTGAAACATAAAAATACTAGTGAAATGTACAAATGAATACGAGCAAAAACGTCTAAACCT